GATCATAAGAAACGAGTTTTTTTTTACTGTCAGCTCCACATAGAGATGATTCATTGGACTCGAAGGTGATGTAATAAATTTTCTAATCTTTCGAGTGCTTACTAAAATATAATGACGAAAACGGCTAATTCCCGACAGTAAATTCAAAATATCAATGCCAAAAAAAAATTAAAAATTAAAAAAAAGGAAAAAGAAAAAAAAAACAATCATCCTCCTCCTGCGAAGCTTCGCCGAAGCTCACTTCCCAAGCTCCCCTCCCCTCCTTTATTTCCTCCACCCCCTTCTCTCTGTTTCTCCGCACCCTGCACACTTTCTCATTCAGCTCCAATCAAGAAGATGAAGCTCATCAAACTCGGATCCTTCTTCTCCAAGGCTTCCCGATCGAAGAAAAGAGATCGGATCGAGTCTCCCTCCTTCGGATCCGTCGCCACCACAACCTCTTCCTCCTCCGAAGGAACCATCACCCCCAAATCCGTTCTCCCCGTAGCCATCGACGATCTATTCAGCGTCTTCGATCGCGACGGCGATGGCAAGATCTCGAAGCCCGATCTCCAGGCGGTGCTCGGTCGGCTCGGCCCTCACGATCCGCCGACGGAGGAGGAGCTCGCCTCGATGGTTGCGGAGATCGATCGAGACGGCGATGGATACATAAGTCTGGACGAGCTCGGAGTCATCGCTCTCGCGGCTCTTGAAAAGCCCGCCGCCGGAGACGAGCTCCGCGAAGCGTTCGCCGTATTCGACGTCGACGGAGACGGGAAGATCTCGGCGGAGGAGCTGCTTGGGGTTTTTATGGCTCTCGGAGATGTTGATTGCACGATCGATGATTGTCGCCGGATGATCGTCGGCGTTGATAGTGACGGCGATGGGTTCGTGTGCTTTGCGGATTTTGCACGGATGATGGATGGGGGGAAGAGATGAGGGGATGTACGGTGGGGATTGGATGGGATGACGTTTCTATACTGAATCTTTGTAATTACATAGGGTTGGGAGATTTGTGTTGTGGAAGGGTGGATGTTTGGGAATATTGACTGCTTCAACTTCTGGAACTTTAAAAGACGCGTCGTGGAAAGAAATGATCATTT